GTGATTGGTCTTAAATTGTTCATACACTTTGCTGTAACCTGCCCTGAGCCCATTTTGGGAAGGGTGGGATATAAATTTAATAAATAAATAAATTATTTATTCATAAATGATCTGGAAGTAGGGGAGAGTAGTATACTGGCCAGGTTTGCAGATGGTGATTATTCAGGATGGTGAACCAAGGCTGACTATGAAGAGCTCCCAGAGACCTCCACAAACTGGGCGAGTGGATGACAATGTGGCAGATGAAGTTCCATGTTTGTCACTGTAGGGTGATGCACACTGGGACAAAAAATCCTAACTTCAAATATAGGCTAGTGGGGTCTGAACTTGCTGAGATTGAAGGAGGAAAAATCTTGGGTTTGTAGTAGATAGCTCAATGAAAGTGTCAACCCAGTGTGCTGCAGCAGTGAAAAACAATGTTAGGGATTATTAGGAAATGGACTGAGAATAAAATGGCTGATATTGTAATGTCCCTATATAGATCTATGGTGTGGCCTCATTTGGAATACTGTGTACAATTCTGGTCACTGTATCTCAAAAAGGACATTGCAGAGCTAGAAATAGCACAGAGGAAGGCAACCAAGATGATGAGGGGATTGGAGCAACTTCCGTATGAGGAAAGGCTGAAGAGTCTGGGACATTTCACTTTAGAAAAAAGACGACTAAGGGGCGGGACATGATAGAGGTCTATAAAATTATGCATGGGGTGGCGAGAGTTGACAAAGAGAACTTCCCCCCCTCTCCCAAAATACTGGAACTCAAGGGCATCCAATGAAGCTGATGGGCGGTGGGTTCAGGATGGACAAAAGAAAATCTGCTTTACACAGAGAGTGATTAAAATGTTCTGTCAGAGGTTGTAGTGACGGCCACAGGAATAAACAGCTGTAAAAGGGGGTTAGATAGATTCATGGAGGATAAGTCTGTCACTGGCTACTAGCTGTGGTGATTGAGGGGAATCTCCATATTCAAAGGCACTAAACCTCTGAATCACAGAGCCAGGAGGCAACATCAGGGGAAGGCCTCTATCTCCATGCCCTGTTGTTGGCCCTCCAGAGGAACTGGTTGACCACTGAGTGAGACAAGATGCTGAACTAGATGGAACATTTATCTGATCCAGGAGGGCCCTTCTTACATTTTTATGCACACGGCATGTTGCAATGCCACTGCTTCATACATCAGATGATGTGTGGCATGTTCGTTGATAAGGTTGCCCAATATTGTTTAGGCAATCTTAGGGTATTTAGGGTTTCATAAACCAGACCAATAGATGTAGATTATTTTATTTAATAAGTGTTCTCTTGGAAGCTTCCAAGTGGAATAGGTTATGCTGAGAATCTAGTCACAGAAAATGCTGTAATGCCTTCATGGACTGTGTGTGTTAAGTGTTGTCAAGTTGGTTCCAACTTATGGTGACCCTGTGAATTAATGACCTCCAGAATGTCCTATCATTAACAGCCTTGCTCAGATCTTGCAAACTGAGGGCCATGGCTTTCTTGATTGAGTCGATCCATCTCATGTTGGGTCTTCCTCCTTTCCTGCTTCCTTCAACACTATAGTCTTTTCTTCTCATAACCATGGATTGGCTTATCTGATATTATACTGGTGTTTCAAGGGTACCAATCGCATGAGCAAAAGTTTCTGTAAGAAGCCAATGCTGTCAGAAGTGGCAGTTGTTGTGCCCATCAAATAAATAGGTAGGATGGTCCATAATGGCTACTCTGTCTGTTTGACATCCTAAAACATATTGTTATGGTTGTGTTGCAAGGATGTCACAATGCCATAAGAAGCAGATATGCCTGCACAATTTCAGGAATGGGATCCCCAGTGCTTACCTTAGTTTGCAATCGTATTGTTTGCATTAAGCGGTTTACCTGCACATTTTATCACATCTGTTCATTGAATCAGAGAAAATGCTGCAATCCTCAAGAATTTTGTGGATTTTTCCCTTTTCCCTGAAGGAATTTGGTTCCATAAAACCGTCACAAGATTACAATGGTACATAAATGCAGTACTTTTATTCCTGACAAATATAATCTCACTCCCATCTTGTTTCTAGTTTGTAGCTGTTTCTTGCAGCCACAGTTTAGGAGAATTATAAAAGGAAACGTTCTAAAACATGAAAACATTGTGTGTGTGTATGTGTGTGTGTGTGTTTGAGACAATGCAAGGTCTTTCCATTTATGTATCCATTTAACTTGCAGTTGTTTGTCAAGTGCCAATAGCATACTGAGATTTTTGTGATATTTTATTTTATGTGAAGGCAGTAATAAGTTTTACAGCACAGCAATATTCAGTTGCATATAGTTGAAAATAATCCATGCATGATTGAAACCACCAGAGCATAGAATTGATACGTGAGGTTCTGTTTTCCAGGTAGTAAATCTCTTGCTCCAATATGTTAAAAACTGATTGGATCCAGTCAGCTTTTCTGCTGGAGACAAGGGGAGGAGAGGGTCTCGATTCACCACCCAAACGCCTGTGCTGGGGACCATGCGACCTCATGGACAAAAGCTATGTGCCATCAGGGCTGAAATAATGAGGGGAATTACATTAAATCAAGTGAAAAAGTTGGCTGGATCCAACCCACTGTACTGAGAAATTTCTGATATTATCCAGTTTTTGATATCCTTCTTTTGTGGGCTGATTTCCACCCAGTTGTCTACAACCACCAAATTACTGCAGTTTGGTATAGTGGGTAGGCGCGCAGACTCTAATCTGGGAGAACCGGGCTTGATTCCCCACTCTTCCACATGCAGCGGCTAGTGTGACCTGGTGTCAGTTACAAGTTCTTTCAGAACTGTTCTCTCAGGAATTGTTCTCGAGAGAGCTCTCTCAGCCCCACCTACTTCACAGTGTTGTGTGGAGGGGAAGGGAAAGGAGGTTATAAAGCCACTCTGAGACTCCTTCAGGTAGTGAAGGGTGGGGTATAAATCCAATCTCTCCTTCTCCTTCTCAGTGTAGCCTAGGAGTGTTATTCTGGGAGTCAGTGTAGGAGCACCAGTGTAGGAGTACCAGTGTAGGAGCACCTATGAGTACCATTTTCCCTATTAGAACTTCCACTGATGATTTGTTGGTGTTCCTGTTTGGCCAATGGCTACAGCTGAATGGGCTTCTTTGGTGGAGTCCCCTAGTCTGCAGGACCAACTTCCTGCTGTGACTCAAGAGAGCTTATTTGGAGGCTAGGCTGCCTGGTACTTTAGCTGGCAGCAGTTTTCAGTTTCTTGTTTGCATTAGTCAGTGAGGCAAATTAATTATATTGTTTATTATATGTACATTGATTTGAGAGTATTGTTTGTGGAAAAGGAAGTCAAAGTGTTCTAGAGTATGTTAAAAAAAAATGGACCAGGCTGGCTAGTGTTTAATGTACTTCCATGTACTATAACTTTCTTCTTCCTTGCCCCCAGAAAACTTGATAATAGATGCTTTTGGCCAGGGCTCTTTTTGTAGAAAAAGCCCAGCAGGCACTCATTAGCATAATAGGCCACACCCAATAGCAGAAACTCATTAGCATATTGGGCCACACCCCTGACAGCACCACTCATTAGCATATTAGGCCACACCCACGCTACAAGAAGTGTGGTCATCCAGCCACACTAACCTTTTGCTTCTTATTCTGTTTACCTTGTTTGTTGTCAAAACCCAGAGCTTTTTTTGTAGCAGGAACTTCTTTGCATGTTAGGCCACACACCCCTAATGTAGCCAATCCTAATGAGTTTCTGCTGTTGGGTGTGGCCTATTATATGCTAATAGGTTCGTGCTGAGCGTGGCCAACTCAGGAGCCAGCCGGAACTCTGTTCCTGTGCGTTCCTGCCCAAAACTAGCCCTGCTTTTGGCAATTTGTGCCTTCAACCATAGGCCTAACCTACTCAGGTCATTTTTTGCTGTCTACTTGAAGCATCATTTTGGTTGTAATCTTTTGTATGGTTGTGCTGCTTAAATCCCACTGAAGTTTGTGGGATTTAACAGCCTGTGTGCAGGATTTAGACCACAGCCTCTTTTAAGTACTTTTGTTTTCCACATCTCCTTAAAAGGATAGACCATATTTATAAATAGTTTCTATTGTTTCTTGGATGTGAAGTTTTTTTTAAAAAACCTCATTATCACTGGTTGTTTAGATGATGTCCCCTTTTTTGTATAACTTTTTTTTGTTCATTTTGAATAACAGACCTTGGCTTTTACAGATCTTGTGTGGTATTTTTAATGTGGTTTTTTCATAAATTATATTTTTCATGAGTGGAACGTATAAAATACCAAGGATGAATTCCACAGTGCTCCCAGTGGCTGGCCTGATAGATCCACATCTGTCAAAGGCCAGCTGGCAAGGGAGAGTGAGGGAAGAGAATGGATAGATAGGTTTTGCCCCACCAGTAAATATAGGGTTAGTGTGTGTTAATTATGGGATGTAATGTTTACTTTTTCTCTACCTACCATATTTTTATCCCACCCTTTCTCCAAGGGAGGGGAGAACGATGTTGTAAGCTGCTTTGGGTACCCATTGTGGAGAAAATCAGGGTATAAGTATCTAAATAAATGAATAGGAGCGCACAGCAGCATACGTGATTCTCCCCTCCTCCATTTTTCCTCACAACCACCCTGTCAGGCTGAGAGAGTGACTGGTTCAAGTAACTCAGTGAGATTCATTGGCTGAGGGGGGATTTGAACCCAGTTTTTCTCGGTCTGACTCTCTAAACTGCTACACCATACTAATGTAGAATCTATTTTACTTTAAACTTCTAACAGTTTTACAAAGTAACAGCAAGAGTAAGATTTTAAACATGTAAATAAGCCATACTACCTTATTTTGAAGGACAAGCTGATACCTCTTGATAGGTTTGCGAAACAAACATATGGAGTACCTGAGCTTCTCTCCCAGAGTAGAACTTGCTTTCTTGGCCTTGGGGTTCCACTAATTATACTTTGCTGCTATGGTTTACAAAAATGGTAAGATTACATTAAAATGTACTGTGACTTTTTTTTTCTTCCTTGTGTGCATATCTTAGGCAACAAGAGCTACGCTGACCCAGCACTGCACGAGCCTGGGTGATTCGCTGGGCAAAGAAAATGACATTGCTTTGATTATTGATGGCCAGACGTTGAAGTTTGCCCTTTCTTTTGAGGTCAGACAGTCCTTCCTGGACCTTGCGCTGTCATGCAAGGCAGTCATTTGTTGCAGGTAGGAAATTTCAGGATATTTCTTTAGGAAACAAAGGTTTCATGCTGGGAATTAAATGCATCATTATTGCTATATTATGTACACCACTGTCTGTTCTGTCTGCAATCCATCTACAACCCTCTTCTTGCTCTGGGGTGCTCTTTAGCCTACCAAACTGAGGACCAGAAAATGCTAAACTACCAGATGACTTTTTACCTTCCAACTCCTCTCCAGTCAGATTGAAAGCATTAAAGCATACTTAGAAATATCTGAAAATGGGTGATTTTCGCAGTTTTACCAATAGATGAGGTTACACCCAATTGGTGGTGGATCTGGATTGGATCTGGGAGGTTGTTCAATGGTCATTCGTTTTAAGAAGCAAGCAGGTACAACGGTCAAAAAGGAGAAGAAGGGATGAATAGCCTGTGAGCTGGTTGAGCAACGTAGAAATTGGAAACAAGGACTATGGTATTAAGTAGGGCTGTTCCCAGAGTTTTCACATGAACATTTTCAACACAACAGGGGGTTTGGAGGGGGGCAAAAGTTCTCCAAGACCCTCCTCCAGTGCTTATCTCTATTCAGTCTTGTATGCTTATTTGTATAGCCTTAATTGGATGCTGCTCTGGCACAATTTTTTCCCTTTCCAAATATTTCCCTTCTTTTGTTCACTATTCACCTATCACGTAGTGAATAAGATATGGTACCAGTGCAGCAGCCAATAAGAGCTGCAGACGCAAGCAAAACAGAGTGAAAGGAATTGGGGGTGAGGTCAGAAGTTTGCCACCATACCCTAGAAGATGCTGAAGTTGGAGAAGGCTTTTTATGTGGGTTAGGAAAGTGATGCTGAGAACTATGGCTTGCCCAAATGGTGTGTGTGTGTGTGTGTACATGACCACCCCCTTTCAAGACTCCACCAAGAATGTGCTCCAAGATGGGTGGATATAATTCAAGGGCATGGAGTGTATTTCATGAAATGTCTTCCCCTTATTTGGTGTAAGCTGGTAGATCAGAAAAGTTCTAGTGCACAGGTAGATGTCAGCATAGGTAGCTGTCCCAGAAGGTTTATATTGATAGCATTGACCAATCAGAGGGTATGCATGGAAGCCAACTGGAGCTTAAGGTAGATCAGGTTTTACCAGATGCTAGTTTCATTGGTGGAATACTTTTTTTTAAACTGCTAATATGGTCACACGGCAAAACATATACAACAACCCTTGGAAGGACTCACAGGTAGGAGCTCCTTGCTGATGACTGGTGGCTTCTTATTTACATAGAAATCGAAGAGTTGGATCTTACAATGCTATCTTGGGTAGCTGCAATATTTGTCAACTGTTTTGATGTCACCATCATTCAAGGTTCCCAATACAAATGATAATACATCAGTACAGTTATAGAATTTCTTTTCTTATTGGATCCAAAAAGACCCGGGAGAGCCATTACAACAGTAAAGTCAAGCAAGAACTTTATTGTTCACTCATGCAGTCATATCCCGTTTTGCAAGAGGATTTCTTTGTTGTGACTTTAATGTTGCAGATTTTCTCCGAATTGAGAACTAGAGATCTACTCACAGCATGTAAAATTATTCTATCTATTGGTGATAAAGAGCGACCCTTTACTTACTATTGACTGGCAAGAGTGGAAGCTTCCATAATCTTTTAGCAGTTAGAAATGAATGTAGTTTGAGGTTGGTTCCACTGTACCTGACTGCCCTTCATTAAGCAAAGCTGGCTGTACAAAAAGATCCAGGGGGACCAGCATGAAACGTCTCAGCAGACCTTACATAACCCCCTCTGGTATATGGTGCTTAACTGTGAATGTTTTTCATGGTCTTCTGTTGATGGCAGCCACTTATGATCTGCTTCTGAAATGTTCTCCCATAGTGGCTTACAGATCTGATAAGGGTTAATGCTCAGCCTTCTTTGTTAAAGTTGAGAGATCTGTGATGGCCAATTCTATGTTTTTGAAAAATTTAAACAGAAAAGTAAGATGTGTGTCTGTGTTGGACATTTGCAACAATTACTGTGTAGAAGGGGAAAGGAAACTGTGAACTTGCTTATTTTTAAGTGTCCATACAATGTTCTTTAACTTAATACTTTGTTTGGATAGCAATTTATGTTTAAGAGTGTGGTGGAGGTAATAGTTATTTGTATAGCACTTCCCCACAATGGTAATGCTTCCAAAACTATCTTCATCTGAATGTCATCCAAATTGAGTTCCAGTCTTTCTTTGACAGTGGAACTGTTAGGAATCTTCCATTTTCATTTTTAAAAATTATATCTTTCTGAATTTTGTGGAGAGATCAGCACATGTGCCGCTTGCCAGCACTTTAAGTGCCTTCATTTCGGGCTTTCCCCTTTTTGTGTTACTAGTATGTCCATGTGCAGAAATGCAAACTAAATGTGGTAATTATATTTGTGTGCCCTGATAATTGTGGTGAAAGCAGGCGGGAGGGGGTGATTTTCACAGAGAAAATGGAATGAGGGGAAATGGTTCAAAAGCCCCTTCCCCCCAGTCCAGTCTCCCCCTTAAAGCTGCACTTTTAAAAAACAATGGTTAAAAGGATCATGGAACTGTTGTAGATTTAGAAAGCAGTCCTCAGCAGATCTACTCAAAATCCTACTAAGATCCAGGGGTCATTTCGTAGAAAAAGAGCTAGGGGAACTCATTAGCATAACTCATTAGCATATGCCACACCCCCTGACATCACCGAAAATGTGTCATAAGGCCACACACCCCGCCCTCAACGGTCCCGGCTGCCGGTGCCGGCCTTGCAGCTCCACTGCCGAGCCCCATGAGGGGCCCGGCGGTGGACCTGCAAGGCCGGCGGGAGTGCAAGGAAGCCCCGCGAAGGCCCTCCCTGGCCCCAGGCAGGCAGGGGTGGGGAGAGGCAGGGAGGAAGCAACTTACCCTCCCTCTTCTCCTGCCTCCTCCTGGCTGAATGAGGGCCGGAAGCAGGGCGGCCGGAAGCGGGGGGCGGGGCTTTGTCATGTGCCCCGCCCCCCGTACCTCACCCGGGGGAACTGCGATCCCCCGCGTTCCCCTCCAAAATGACCTCTGCTAAGATGTATTCAAGGGGACTTACTCCCAGGAAAGTGTTCTTAGGATTGCATTGTCAATGTAGTTTCCTGAGTAAACCTGTTTAATTACTGTACAAAACTGTGATTTGCATGTTGGCTTAAACACAGCCTGCTCTTGCCCTGATGGCACACGGTGTATGTGTGGGAACTTAGTTTTCCTTTCAGGTAAGTAGAGTAACTGTTTAAGGTTGCACATCCAAAATGTTCTGCAAGAAATTATTTAGGAAGGCGCAGTTGGTTTCAGTGGGCTTAAGCTGCAGTCACTCTGCGTAGGATTGGCCTGTAAATGTTACAGTTTGCTCAGCTCTAACCCAGGACAGTTCATTTAGGGTTGCCAGGTCTGGGTTGGGAAATACCTGGAGACTTTGGGGGTGGATCCAGGAGAGGGCGGGGTTTGGGGAGGGGAGGGGCCTCAGCATAGTACAATGACATAGAGTCCACCCTTCAAAGCAGCCATTTTCTCCAGGGGAGCTGATCTCTGTCAGCTGGAGATCAGTTGTAAAAGTGGGAGATCTCCAGGCCCCACCTGGAGGCTGGCAACCCTAGGTTTATTCCAACTTGCAGATTAAACATAGGTCATTTTAGAAGTTATATTTAGGGGTGTGTGTTTTTCCTGTTTCTTGCTTTTGTAAAGCTAGTGGCAACGCAGTATTAGCTAGAAGGTACAATGAGTAGGATAGCCCAATCTCGTCAGAAGCTGAGCAGGGCTGGCCCTGGTTAGTACTTGAGTGGGAGACCACCAAGGAATTCCAAGGTCGCTATACAGAAGGCAGCAGTGGCAAACCACCACTGAACATCTCTTGCCTCGAAAACCCTACAGGGTCACCTTAAGTCAGTTGCGACTTGACGACACTTTTCACCGCCACAGTGGTTTTAAAAATGGCTGTCACCTACTTTCTGTATTGCGTTAACAACATTCAGAAGTTATGCGTTACAGATGGAAAGGCAGTGTTAACATTGCTTGTAAAATGTCATAAAAATTCACTTATAACTTCTGAGGGTTCAGTCCTAAATAAAGTTACACTCTTCTGCGCCCATAGTCTTCAGTGGGCTTAGAACAGTGTAACACTGCTTAGAACTGCAGTGTAAATGAGTTGTAAAGTCAAATCAGGGCACCAGAGAAGGCTGCTGTACATTTAACTGGTGGTGTGAATGTAGTGAGGTTTCCACTGGGTATCGTATACACTGTTTTCTGATTGCCATTCATATGCCTTTGAATATTGTTCCTATTGCTCTGGTCACTTTTAAGGCTATGTGTGCAGTTAATAATCTTTTATAGTATCAGTCCGATTGTTTTTTGTATTACGGCTCTGTTTAGTGCATGTAAGAATATCAAAATCAGACATACTTGCAATAAAACACTGGGGGGGGGGTTAAATGCCAGAATGCTTTACTAACCTTTCATTAAACCTCACCTATTTTTCATCTCCTTTTAAAGTAATCCCGTTAATGGAGACAGCGGGTAACGGATCAGTTTATCTTGTTACGTTCTTCTCTCTTCCTACAAAACAGACTCAAATTTACTGAGGTCTCATTTTAAAAGATTACTCCTGAGAGCCTAGTTCAGCTGTGCTTCATGTCTAAAGCTGAGCAAATGAATATACCATATATTTAAAGTATATTCAGGACGACAATTGAATGGCAAATACATCTGAAATACCCCTGTGGAAATTTTAAAAAGCTTACACTGAATTTATGCTAGATTAACTTCTATGAATTTGTACTGCTGTAAATTGACAATTGCCGATACAACTTCTTCTAGATTTTGGCACAACAGATTACCTCAGTAAAAAACAAAACGAAACCATGAACCAGACCCCCTACAACTCCATTAATGTGTCTGTTTGAAGATTCCACAGTATTTAATCTGAAATTTCCTCTTCCCCGTGCCAGTTACGTTCAAACTTTCTTCCTGTGATGTTTTAAAGTGCACTGCCTTATTTGACAC